GCCATCTTTCCTGAGCTAAGACTAAAACGTGTGAACCAGAGGCTAAAAAACTGTGAGCTAGCTCACACTAACTCAGCTTAGAGGGAACACTGCTGCCAGCTATTGCTTGGGAAATTCCTGGACGTTTGCGGACGGTGGAGAGGAAGTTTGGGGAGAGGAAGGAACTCAGCGGGGATGTCATACAGAGTCTGCCCTCCAGAGCTGCCCTATGTTCCAAGGAAACTGGTCTCTGTAGTCTGGAGACCAGTTGTTCTTCCAGGCAACCTCCGGGCCCCTCCACCTTGTAGCTGGAAACCCTATAAGCACCTATCTTTCTTTGCCTAGTTTAGCCATACGTGGCCTTGGGAAGTAGACCTCTCAATTTTCTTTAGTGAGTACTGAATCTGGAAAACCTGAAAATGTTATTGTTTTGGGAATTAAGTACATGACCGCACATAGATGGAGGATATGTTTCTCAACAACCCAGAAACGGCGTCATCCATATACATAATTCTCAGCATGATCAGATTTGTGGATAGTTAAATCCAGAAAATTGGAGCCATGAACAGACAAGACAGATGCCCCAGGTTTGTAGGAAATCTGAAATCTAAACAGAAATACATTGAGAGATTAACCTCCCTCCACCCCCAAAAAAATTAGAAACGCCCTGTGGTGGTGTTGTGACAACTGTGTTCCTTCGATCCAGACCCGTGTTTTAGACTGCCCTAGTTCACCCCAGGATATTGTGTGGGCAGGAACAGGGATAAAGGAAGTTATACTCATTGTAGTTCCAGACAGAGAAAGAAGTTAATTTATTAAACCGTGCTTCTGTTTGAAACCATGCTGCCTTGTTATTCTGATATCAAGCATTAAGAACACAACACACCCCTGTAGCTTTAAGCAATGAATACTCTTAGTGGCTGTTGAAAGGCAACCACAACAGTACTGCCATCCTTTAAGCCCTGACTTCTGGCAGTAAAGGGCAGGCTCTGTCCAGGACTGTTTTGGCCTTTAAGGGACGACTCATCAAGGCCAGGCCTGGCAGCAAACACAAGACGACTTGCTACTGAACAACTTGCATGACTCATGCAAGCCCAGTTGCCTGCTACTGTTCAACAGCAGACAGTGTAGTGGATTGGTTAGAGTTTCATACTAGGATCTAAATCCTCATTCTGCCAAGGAAGCTTACTGGGTGACCGTGGGCGTTACACATTCTCAGCATAACTTACCGAGTTCTCATGAGGTTGCGAAGAGTCGGACTCGACTGTGCGACTGAACAACAACATGAGGAGAAGATGGAGAGGAGGAGAATGATGTAAGCTACTATGGATCCCCATTGTGGAAAAAGGTGGGTATGATGGTGGGTCTACTTCCCTCCCTCAGAGATAGGGTTGCTAGGTCCCCTGGTGTACTGGTTGTCCGTCCTCAACAGACGTCTCTCCTGCCCCAGCCTGAAAGAGGCCGGGTCACGTGTGTAATAAACCAAGCATGGAGTATTGTTGACAAAGCTCTAAAAAACCTCGAGGGCACTGAACAGGATTGAAACAAGGCGTGAAACTCCAGAAGCAACAGGCGAGCTGGATCAGACTTACATCAAAACAAACTGCCAAATTCCAAGAGCACAAGTCGTTGCTGAGCACAAAGACGGAAAAAGAGTCGATAGCCGGCAGAAGGAGTAAGAAACTCTGCAGTGATGCAACTGCAGTCCCGGCCACTTGCTAGAAAGTAGGGTGCAGCACTCCAGAGGCAACAAGCGAGCTGGGTCCGGCTTGCATCTGTGCAAAGTGCCAAGTTTACAAAGCTGTCCTCAGGTAGTCAGTGGCTGGCAGGAGGAGTAGGAAACTATCTCCCTGTTCCAACTGGGTAGGGAATTTTCTTCTTTCTCTAGAAGATCTATCCCCTTTTCTGGCCTGAATGGGAGTCTTCACCTAACTACCCACTAGTTCTTGCCAACCTACCCCACTTCTCCATCTGTGTTAAACTGCTCTTGGCTAAGGCTGAAACCAGACTGTCAGTGTTTAACTCAGTCAAGGCAGAAAGATTGCTTGGAGCAGCCTTTCACTCAAGGCTCTCTTTCTGTGAAGAATTAACCCTTCACAGTCCTTTATTTGTTTGTACAGCACTTCTAAGCTTTTAAAACTGCTGAGCTGGGATTGCAAGATTACATCTAATTGTATGCCACCTTAAATCTACTGAAGAATGTTTACTGTGAGCACTTTAACTGTTTGTAAGATTTTAACCTATTTTAAAATGTTTTATGTTGACCGGGCACCTTGTGTCGGTAAATGTGAGCCGCCCAGAGCCTGTCGAGCGGAGGGCGGGATATAAATATAAATAAATAAATAAAAGTGCAGTCCGTCACAGTGGGGTATAAATGAAGTAAATAATAACTATAGCTGAAGAGAGAGGCAGATGAAAGGCAGGTTGGCTAATGGATGGGAAGGAGAGAAGGAAGCAGGAAGAGGTGAGAGGCTATGGGGGCTGCCAAGGAAGGGAAAGTAGAAATAGTGGGGGAGGGGAAAATGAGATGCCTCCCACAACTCCTTGCAGGTCCCCCCACTTGTGTTTACATATACTTTTTGTCCTTCATCTGTGTACTGTCACACATCTCATTTCTTTTGGGGTTAACCTTCTGAAAGTTGTATACCACCAGATCCTTGGAGATCAACTTGCTTTTTTGCTCATTATTGTCAAACCCCTGAACCCTGTTTTCACATAATGAAAATAAAAGTGTACCTCATTTCTTTTTACCCAATGTTGGTTGCTATGCAAAAATGTTTTCAAGGCTTCTTTCATTACTATCTTTGAAAACAACTCTCAGTACCTAAGAACAGAGGTCATTTCCTGCAGGAGCGCACAGGAGCGGAGCTCCGGCAGTAAAGAGCCCGGGGGGCGGGCACATGCAACAAGCCCTGCCCCCTGCTCCCAGCAGCCCTGGGCCACAAGGAGCAAGAAGCAGCCAGGTAAGTTGCAGAGCCCCCCCCCCGATAGCCATCCAAAGGAAACCCGGGGGACCTTTGCGGGTTTATTCAGGTACAAGCTCTCCCTCCTCTGTGAGGGCAGATCTGCGCATCCCCCCCCCCCATAGCTAGCAATCCAAAAGAGTCCAGTGGGGCCTCAGTGGTGGGTGTTGCCTTCTGACACTTCCGGCGATGTCAGGGGGTGTGGCATATGCAAATAAGGTATGCTAATGAGTTATGCTAATGAGCTCCTGCACCTTTTTCTACGAAATGACCCCTGCCTAAGAACATAACATAACATAACATAATAGAAGCCATGTTGGATCAGGCCAATGGCCCATCCAGGTCCAACACTTTGTGTCACGCAGTGGAACCCTAAAACTTGATGGGAGAACTCTTGTGCATATACAGGGCTGCCAAGAGGAAGGTAGAACAGTACAAAATTCTGGAGGCCCTGGTCACTTCAGGGGCTTGTGAGCAGACCAGTGATTTAATTTCATATGATATTTGGGTTGGATCAGGCATGGAGGCAGAGGAAATCTTTCCCTGGGGCCCTCTGGTGGCTCTTCTCAATCCTGGCCTCACATACCTGGCACTAGGCTCCCAGGAATCATGGCACAGGACTGCCAGCTTCCAGGTGGCATTTGGAGATCGCTTGCTATTATAATTGATCTCCAGACCACCAAAATCAGTTCCACTGGAGAAAACAGCCTCTATGGCATTATAACCTGCTGAGGTTCAAGGACCTGGCTGTGGAGCATAAAGAGTTACCTTTAGATGTTGACATCTGAGAGCCAGAGTGGTATAGTGGTTAAGAGCAGTGGACTCTAATCTGGAGAACTGGGTTTGATTCCACATTCCTCCTCCACATGAAGCCAGCTGGGTGACCTTGGGCCAGTCACAGTCCTCTCAGAACTCTCTCAGCCCCACCTGCCTCACAAAGTGCCTGTGATGGGGAGGGAGAGGGTTAGGGGAGGTAGGGTCACCATATTTTGAAAAGCAAAAAAGAGGACATATTTCCCGACTGACTACTTCAAACAACTGATCACTGTAGCAAATCTCATTTTAAATACCCCTACTACTTAAGATGAAGCTTGCCTCCACTGAGGGACTCTAGGGCAAAGCAGGCTAAGCCTCCCAACCCCAAAGCCCAGCACTTTAGGATAACTGATTTGTTTATGGTTTTTGGTTGTTTTTATGATGGATTTTAATTGTATTTATATATGCATTTTATGTAAACTGCCCTGAGCCTGCCTCGGCGGGGAGGGCGAGGTATAAATCGAATAAATAAATAAAAATAATTTAAACAAATAAAAATACATTTTCATCATTTTTTTAAAAAAGAGCCCAAAAAGCGGGCGGACAACAAAAAAAGAGGACATGTCCTCTTAAAAGAGGACATCTAGAAACCCAAGGGGAGGGGAAGCCACTTTGAGATTTCTTAGGGTAGAGAAAAGTGGGGTATAAAAATCAACTCTTTTTTTATGCCAAATATTGTTCTGAATGTTGTACAGTTCTCTCATGTGTTTTAATGGATCTGGGTGAAGGATTTTATTGCTTGTTATGATGCTGTGAACCACTCTGAGAGCCTTGAACGATAGGTGGAAGTGAGGGAGACAGAAATTAAAATAATAAATACTGAGGGACAAACGGAATTGCTCTGAGTAACAAATATACTGGACAGGCAGGGTTGAAAGACTTCCAATAAATAAAAGTTGCCTCACTGCCCTTAGAAGCAAGATCTCGATTGTAGATTCCCTTCAAGAATGGGGGGGGGGCATTCCCACAGTCAGCCAAGTAGTCCCCCCCCCCTCCGCTCCCACCTTCCATTTAACTCCCTCTTTCTTTGGAATGAGGGGAAGGGTGAGGGGTGGAGATTTGCTGTGCAAGAGAGCTGGAAACGGTTCCAGGGCTGGAAAACAAAAGGCATAGCGGGGAGGGGTGTGGGGGTGTGCGGAGTCTGTCAGAGATTCTCCCAGAGACTTTGCATCTCCCATTCCCTTCTCCATTCATCCCCCTCCCCATCAGTCCAGTCTTGCCTGAATAGGCCTGGCTGGAAGGATGGATGTGGAGAGTCCCTGCGAAGAGGCTCTCTCCAGCTTGCTCCTGGAGGATGTCAAGCAGAGGCTGCGGAAAGCATTCCGAGGACAGGGGACAGCTTCAACCCCTCTGGCACCAAGGTTGGCAGCAGCAAGTCAGGAGAGAGGAAAGAGGACCCTGGCTGCCCAGGAGGAGCTGCGCAGGGCACACATAGAGGGGGCCATTGCCTGGCTACGGGTAGAACTGGTAAGTGAAGCGGGCAGGTCCCTTTCTTAGGAGGGGAGTCAAAACTATACTGCTTCTCTGATGGTTGAAGGGGCAGAGCTGTGCTCTGGCAGGGCACATGCTGCAGAGATTGCACAATCCATCCTGTATGGGCTGAGAAGCCTCCAGTTCCAACTTCACCTCAGCAGTGAATTCACTCACTGCTTTCCCCCTCTGCTCAGGAACTCAGGGCTTATTTATTGGGTACTTCTTTATTATGCTGCTGTTTCTCCAAAGGCAGACAGGGCATCTTATATGGTTCCATCCTGCTCTGTTAATCCACACAACAACCCGGTAAGGTAGATCAGGGGGATGGTATCTGGCCCAAGGTTGTCCACTGAGGCTAAGGGCATGTGTTGATTTGAAAGTGGGTCTCTCCAACTGTAATTCAGCACTCTAGCCATTGCACCACATCATACCACAATAGTATTTAAAATTATAATGGTAGCCTTCCTTGCAGGGTTGTGGTGGGGTTGTACTTTGCAAGCTTGCAAGGTTGGAGCCTTGAATTACAACCTTGCAGGGCTGCACTTTGAATTCTTGCTACATAACAATGTTGAGTATTAATAATAATGGCATTACCCGGTGGTAATGATATTTTTAAGGAATATCCTGTGGAACACTGTATAGTATTGAAGAATAGCCTAGGGGTTCCTTCGCCTTCAACAAATAGTATTGAAGAATATTCTGTTAGCTGTTCGGGCCTTTGGTTTGATGGGGATTTCTGATCTTTTTTGAAAAATGGTAGTTTTTAATGATGTTAATACATTTAAGTGTTAATACATATAAATAATTAACACAAAATATAGCAATGATGAAAGTAATAATATAGTTGTAAAATAGATCAGTTATGGACTCTGGAATTCAAAATGTCTGAAAGGTCTTAAAAATTATAATGAAGGATGTTGGGGAGAAATATTTTCTGTTTTATATACTCCGTAATGTATCCTTTTGTATTCCTTACATGTTACTATATAACCCTTCTTTCCTTATGTATCCCTTATATATCATCTTGTTTTCTAAAATTAAAAATATCTATTTAAAAATACAATTCAGCTTTTGCCACATGCAAACGTCATGCTTTGCCTGACCACAAAGGTGAGATTTTAAAAATCCTCAGCTGTTTGCCAAATAGACATGTGGGGTTTTAAAATAGGTCATACCAGTCCTGTACATATTCTGTGACTAGTGCAGCTGTCACTATTACCAATTAATCTATATATCTAATAGCCAAGTTACCCCCTCCGTGCGGATATCTAAATCCACACATCGGGGGCACTTGGGGGGCAGGGAGATTTTCCTGCACACTTCGAGCAGCCTCCAGGTGTGCAGAAAAATCTAAAAAGTTGAAAAAAAGTTATGGGGGATATTTAAATCTGGCCGTGGGGGGGGGAGACTCGGTGGGCCCGGCGGCTGGGAGCCGCTCAGGCTGCGCCGCCGGAGGGAAGGCTCGGCAGGCCCGCATGGCTTGCCGCCAGGGTGGAGAAAGCAGAGGAGAAGGATTGGCGGGCCTGGCGGCTGGGAACCGTGTGGGCCTCGCTGTCGGTGTGGGGCTCCTCCTCCACGTGGAGCTCCTTCCCCCCCCGCCGCGAGTATCGCGGGTCCCCCCCTCTTGTATTTACTAAACCTTGCCTTAGTGACATCCATTTACATGGACAGCACAGGGCAGTGGTTAGAGTGACCAAATCGGATCAGAGAGACCCAGGTTCAAATCTCCACTCTGCCATGAAGCTCACCAAGTGACCCTAGACCAATCTCATTCTCACCGTGAACCTACCACATAGGGATATCGGTGAGGATAAAATGGGGAAGGAAGAACGATGCATGAGATAGGGCTGTTCTCAATTCTCTGTGTGTTATGTATTGAGCCTGAGCCATCCCTGAATGTGGACCTTGAACTGGGTGAGCTTGCTCCCCAAGGACAATAGCTGACCAGGATCCTGGAATGGGCCTATAGATAAGTAGTATAATGTAAACAGCCTATCCTTGGGAGTGTGTGTGTATGGGGTGGGGTGTTTGCATGCTTTAAAAGCAGGGCTCAAGCACTGCTGCGTGTCCTTGTATAATGCTGAAATCACTAAATAACTAGTCTAGAGCTGATCACTGCAATATGTCAGAACCCAGTATTTAACACTATGGTTGCCTAAGTATCGATTATTTACTTTTATTGCTTCATTTGCTCATAAGAGTCAGTGTGTGGTGTAGGGGACAGAAT